GTTTGTAAATTACATTATGAACGACAGAATAAAAATTTATTTTCCATTTCTATACGCAGTTTTTCCCACGCCCTCTCGAAAAGTGTTGTTGGGGGTCTTTGAAAAGGACCCCCAACAGCCACTAAATACGACCTATTCCTCAGCGGCTCTCCTCGTTTCCTCTAGGATGACGTACCGTAATTGCAGAACTCAACGTTGGAATGGTCACCGAAGGAATAGATTTGCGTTCTGTTGGAAACACCATGAAATTGCACGAGACGTCATTAGTGGAAGCCCTGAACCTAAAGTTCGCAGTCGAGTACAAGCTGAAAAACTGTAATATCATTCTTCTTTTGACATTTCCTTTATTCATTCTCACTCTTCTTGTGGAAAATGTCGCTCCTTTATTTTCGAGAAGTGCGGCTGAGGTTTCTGTCACAGACGCAGTTTTTCAGTCACAGGAGCACAAGAGGCATTGACAGACATGCCACCTCGGTCCGAAGAGGAACTCGATCCCGTCACCCTTCATAATCAGGCTTTGATCGGTTCGTTTTCTTTCCCTTCTGTGCTTAAATAGAAGAAAAACTGCCCTCATTACTACACACAGTACAAAGCTGACAACGTCGCATTCATTTGGGACACTTCTATGAGTGATAGAATGAGTCCACCCGCGGCGTTTCTACCACTGGTTGCTCTTCCCAAGTTGACTTCTAACCGATCATCATTGGTAGATTAGGGCAGCTGGAGGCGGGCCTATCCCTCCTACTGACACGCCCGACTGATTGCGACATTATCAATTATACCTACTGAGAGCACTACAGCTGAGCGAACCAACCGTGACCATCACTTCCAGGAATCGATACGAATCCGAGCGATGGCTTCGCTGCTCAGCCAAAATCCGTTCCCACCTGAGACATTTGCTAATCTGCTGCTACTTTACTGCAAGTACGAGGTGAACATTTCTTCTAATCTCTGTTGCCTAGCCAAAGCACATGGGACTCACGCCATTCGCCGTTGTTGGGCGTCCCTTTCTGAACATTTCTGAAGAAGGTACTTTCGTGCTGGCGCTCCCCTAGCTTCAACGTTTTTCAGTATTACGATTTGGCAGCTGATGTCTTGGCCGAAAACACTCACCTCACTTTCAAGTATCTCACGCAGGTACCGCACAAGCATCCTTTTCATAGTCAGCCTTATCTGATGTTAAACAATTTGCAGTACCAGTACGACTACTTGGATGCTCTCATCAATCTTCAAACTTCCCCAGAAGAAGCATTCGCCAAGTTCGACGCGATGGCAAATGAGCAAATGAATGAATTACGGAGCCTTACCAAGAGGGTGCAGGTGGGTGCCCGACCTGATAGAAGCTCCCCTCGCTTTTCACTGGGTCACCAAGCCTCCAGGTGATTTCTTCAAATTATCCAGCTTTCCTCTGAGGCGTCGCGATGTTTAGGAAATTCGTCAGAGCAATGATGAAACAACTGCTCGGAAAGCCGTTGAGGCATTCGACGAGACACTTGAACTGTGAGGTTTTGCCTCCATTCCCCAGCGCTTGGCCTAAGAAGTCACATCTTCGTTCTAGGTACTTACCGGTGTTGATGTCACAAGCGAAGATCTACTGGGACAAAGGTGATTATGGGCGAGTGGAACGGATCTTCAGGTGCGTCTTGCCTCTTTAATCGGGTCAGTGCTCATGGAAAAAGAACAGCGAGAATCCTCGCAGCATGGGGGTTTTATAGAGCTTCCTGGAACTGCTATTGCCACTGAATTGTTGTAGGAAGTCAGTGGAATTCTGCAGTGAACATGACACATGGAAACTAAATGTGGCGCATACATTATTCATGCAGGTAGTGCAATCATTTTTCTTATCAGTATTGGCTCGCAATAGTTTTACAGCTCTGTGAGTGGACTGCACTAATTACGTTCTATTGTTTTTGCATTTTCCAGGAGCAGAAGTTCAAGGAAGCGGCAGGATTCTACGAGCCAATTGTTAGCAAGAACTTCGTGACAGTAGGTTCTTTCTATTTTTACCAGTTTGGCTGACGCGCACTACTGCGCGCATGGTTCAGTCTGTGGTCCTGATCAATGACAGGATTTCTGTGCTGATCCCTAACACTTGGCCCATTCCCCATCTTTCAAAATTGGGCCCATTTCATCATATTTCCATATTTCTCCTCTTCATTGCCAAGGTGCTTATCAGATTTCCAAAAACCTGATCGTTTCGGCGTGGGGGTGGGGGGCTTGGCAATAAGAACGGCCTTTGTAGCGGGTTGACAAATGTAATTAAATTATCGAAATCATTAGGAATTGTGTCTTAATCATAATACTTCCGTTGAGCAGCTCTCACATCCGTCTGTTGGTGGCTCTTATCATTCCCCACTGGCGAACAACTTTAGCTTTTACTTTTTGTCGAAACTCGAGAGTTTAGCGGTCGAATCAATTCCGACTATAACACTAAAGGATAGAAACACTGAGCCTTTGCCCATTGATTCCATGGGCCACGGTGGTCAACATCAGTCGCAAGCGGAGTAAAGCTGCGAATAGATACTGACCCTTGTACACTATATCACAACTTATCTCCCACCACCAATGTTCCCTAACCACCTCTGAAATTGCTTACTGGAAGAAGTTCCCCAGTGCTACAACTCGTGCATTGAATTTTGTGGCTTCCTCTCTGAAGTGGCCCCTATGGTATCTTATCAGCTGTTGTTACGCCCTGCCACCCACCAATAATGTTCCATCCTGCCCCTATCTTACTAATTGGAACCAACGTCCGGTTGTTGTGGCCGGTGTTATGAATTAGGTAACCCACTCCTTTTAAGGCTCCTTATGGTATCTTATCAGCTGTTATCACTTCCTGCCACCCACCAATAATGTTCCCATCCTGCCCCCTATCTTACTTCTTGGAACCAACGTCTCGTCGTTGCTGTAGCCCGCGCTATGAATTTGGTGACCCTCCCCTTCTAAGACCCCCTGTGGTCTTATCAGCTCTTATCAGTTCCTGCCACCTACCAATAGTGTTCCTGCCCGACCCCCTACATCACTTATCAGTTTGAGCGCTCTATCGCTCTTTTGAAGGAAGTTATGAATTTCCGGTCAAACCACATACAGACAACATACACACACACCAACAGACAAACTTAGCGGATTATATAGGTTGGAAGGAGCTTTTTCCTTTTTTATTTTTCATACAGTGGGAATTAGTCAACAATATGTTCGTCATAGTTAGCCACTACAGTGCTCTACCTAATGGACAGGTAACCGTTCCCCCTCTCCCAGAAATGAGGAGGCTGCGAGTAGAGTAGGTCGGCAGCTTCTCAACCGATGTCATCAAAGTTGCTGAAAGTTTTCTTAGCTAAGAAAGTCTTGAGGAGACGGAGCAGGTAGCAGTCGTAGGGAGCTATACTCGAAATCCCTGAGATCGGGTAGGCGTGGCCGCATGTTTCAACTTAACCTGAAGGTGTCTATGCTTCTGGTGAGATATTTTCATCTTGACACAATTGTTGTCGTGTCTCTGTCCAACACAGAACAAGATGACAGTTGTCCCAGACTGGAATATTCCACGAGTAACCAGTTCCGTGCCATGTTCAAATGCCACGCCTACTCTGGCTCAGGGATAAGGAGTGTACGTCAGGAGAATATGATGAGCGGATACTGGTCTCCCAGCCTTGCTCTGTTGTGAAGCTTGTATTGCACGTCGGGTAGCATAGCT